TATATATATTTTTATTTTAATTAAAATAAATTTTATCAAAAATATTTTTTAAATGTAATTATTTTTTTTGTAAATGTAAGTACTTTTTTGTTATATTTGTTTAAATTTATAAATCTAAATCTTATTTGGTTCAAAAAATGTTTAGCGACTTAATCGTTCAAAATATGAATGATCATTGGGTTTTTTTTGGGACTTTTTTCACTATTTTACCATATTAACTAGTTGTACAAGTCATAAGAATGTATCAAACATGTTTTAGAAAAGTCCAATGACTTATTTAACATGTTTTGGATTGTCCAATGACTTATTTGTTCTAAAAAATTATCCAATGAGTTATTTAACATGTTTTAAATTATCCAAGTAGTTATTTAACATGTTTTGGAATGTCCAATGACTTATTTATTCCAAAAAATTGTCCAAAGAGTTATTTAACATGTTTTGAAATGTCCAATGACTTGTTTGTTTCAAAAAATTGTTCAAGGATTTAATAATTTCAAACACGCATTGGGTTTTTTTAGACTTTTCCCTATTAAAAAATTGTAGATCACAATTTATTTCGTTATTTTAAAGAAAACTTTAAAAGATATGTATTTATTTGAACAATATAAAATAAGAGGTGTTACTTTTTTTACAAACAAAATATATCTCAAAAATAATGTTTTATATTTATTTAAAAAATATTTTACTCTAGAATATTTAATTTGCATGTAACTTAAAAAAAAGTAAATATTTTTTTAGATCATAGCAATGAAAATGAAAATCACTAATAATAATTTGAAATATGTTTTTACTTTTATTTTAGTTAAGTCATCAAAATGATGTGTCATCCACGTCATCTCATTAAAGCCATACAACCAAAAAAAGGTCAAGGGTTAACCGGTTTAAAAGGTAACAGGTTAGCCATTGCTATTATGGGTAGATTTTTTAAAATACAATGCCTTAATAAAAAATAATTTGAAAGTACACTGCTGTAATAAATAAAAACAAAAGTAAAATGCTATAATAAGAAATTTTATGAAAGTAGGTTGCTATTTCATTCATTTAATCTTATATATATATATATATATATATGTAACACCCTCATTTTTTTTTTTGAGAATGTCACATAACCTGAATCCATTTCCTGAATACATAGTCCAAAAGACGGCTAAAATATCACCGTTCGAATCGTTTACAGCGGAAGTCTTTGAATCCCCAAAATTAACTTAATTTCTAACCCGCTTCATACCAGGTTAAGTTACAATAGATTAGTACAATGCTGCTAGGCAAAAACTAAAGATAAGATAACAATCTAGTAACTCTCTACGCGAGTCCCTTGCCCTTATCCAACTTCGAACTTCCTGGCCCTGAGATGCATACTATAGTCAGCTTATAAAGCTCAGTGAGTTCATGGTTTGCGTGAGTAAAGATCATTTCACATCATACATATCAATTTGTAAACTTTGTGCCAAATAGTATGCATTTTCTAAAAAACATGCAATACCGAAGGAAACATATATCTGTAAGACACTGAACATACGAGATCTCGTATAATGTTTAGCCGGATATGAGTCATTTAGTCACAAACACACCCTGGGTTACATATTTCAATCTTAACTGGTCACCCACTTGTCCGAGTAGTGTTTTATATTGGTCGTGACTTACTGGTCAAATGCCCACCCTTAAATCATCAAACTTTTGTATGGATTAGCATGCTAGAGTTATTTGAAAACTGATTAAACACACAGCACGTAACCATTCATAAAATAGCATGCATGTAAAATATATAATAACATGCATGTAAACTGAAACATCATGCATACGTACACACCTTCAGAAATTCATATCATGTAAAAATAATTTATACTTAGGTATGCATCCCAGTGAAATCTCATGAAGACTCACCTGATAACGTAGATTGCTTATCTAACGCTGCTGACTGGCAACCTACAATTTATAATAGCAAATAGCATATAAATGATTAATTTCTCCCAAAGACTACATAAAAGTCAACTTACGGTCAACTACGTCGGCTAGGGTCAACCTTGGTCAACTATGTTTATAGAAAYGTGAGTTCCGACATAAGGTGCATCGTCTCGCTTGTAYCTTAAAACGACTAAGTCTGAAGAAGGCCAGAGCCTCTGTGGACGACCAGAGCCTCTGGTGGTATTGACAGAGCCTCTAGGCTCTTAAGTCCTTCAGGATCAGAGCCCCTCTGGTTGTATACCACACTTAAAGAGCCCCTCTGGTTGTATACCACACTTAGAAAATATTTAGTAACCCGTCCATTGATCCTCTGGTTCTAAACCACACTTAGAAAATATTTGCCATTCAGGACCAGAGCCCCTCTGGTCTCTCTTCCAGAGCTTCTGGTCTTCATGACCAGAGCCTCTGGTTGCACTAACCATACTTGGAAAATATTTAAACACATGACCAGAGCCCCTCTGGTCTCTTTTCCAGAGCTTCTGGCTTCACGACCAGAGCCTCTGGTTGAACCAACCCATATTTAGAATATATTTTAAGATCTAAGACCAAAGCCTCTCTTGTCTCTCTTCCAGAGCTTCTGTCTAACACAACTTGATACAGAGCTCTCATATAGAGCTTCTGGCTACTATAACTTGATACAAAGCTCTCATATAGAGCTTCTGGCT